TCCAACTAGCTTGGAAGGAAGGGAGGGAGGGAGGGAGGGAAGGGAAAGATAGAAAGAGAGAGAAAAATGAAAATGATCATGTTCTAACTCTGCTGTTTCCAAATGACCCTCATTGCCAGGTCTGGGTTTCAGTCTGAGAGGGCATTCCAGCTATCTCTCACCATTCACCTGCCTGATGCTTTCCTCTTTAGCAAGCACTGCAAGTCATGTGGCTTGCCATCTCCAGGTTTTTGCTAATAGATTGCTCTCCCTTGCTGGCTAAGTCCAGTTCACCTTTTAAGTTAGCTGAGGAGTCACCTTTCCCACCAAGTTCTCCCTAATTTTCCCACAATTTAAGTTAGGTGTTCCTCCTCATATATTATAATCAGCTGTCTCTTACTCGGTCTTCCCCCTTAGACTAGTATTCTTGAGGGCAGAGATTATCTCTTACACATTGTTGTATTCCAAATGCCTTAGCAAAATGTCTAGTGTATAGTAAGCATTCAATATATGGTGGTTAGATGAATGGATACCATTTTTCTACTAGCAACTGCAGGACTATGAAGATTAATATACTAAATAACCTCATTCTTCAAGTGAGACACTGTTCCCTGAGAAAGTGCCCTTATCCTCTATCAGCACCTACTATAACAAAAAATTAACTCACCAGAACCATAATACTGAAAATACAACTACCGGACCGTGAGAATCATTCCTTCTCAGGTGAAACTTCTATAGATAATAAAGATACATTAGAGTAGATAGATTTGAACACAGAATCACTGACATTTCCTGAAGTTAATTCTATAAATTTTTTTTATTTTATTTTATCATGTTATGTTAATCACCATATATTACATCATTAGCTTTTGATGTAGTGTTCCATGATTCATTGTTTGGTATAACACCCAGTGCCCCATTCAATACGTGCCCTCTTTAATACCCATCACCAGATTAACCCATCCCCCCACCCCTCCCCTCTAGAACCCTGTTTATTTCTCAGACCATAGTCTCTCATGGTTCGTCTCCCCCTCTGATATCCACCCCCCTCATTTTTCCCTCCCTACTATCTTTTTTTTTAACATAAAATGTATTATTTGTTTCAGAGGTACAGGTCTGTGATTCAACAGTCTTACACAATTCACAGCGCTCACCATAGCACATACCCTCCCCAATGTCCATCACCCAGCCACCCCATCCCTCTCACCCCCCACCACTCCAGCAACCCTCAGTTTGTTTCCTGAGATTAAGAATTCCTCATAATTAATTTTTTAAGTCTATTAACCTACCCCATCCTACCTCACCTATTCTTTCTGAACTTCCTGCTTGCTTTGGTCACACTTCGCAGATGTTACTCAGATCAAATGGCTTTCACTGCCTCAGTATATTTCAATTGCTACATCTATAACCATTCCTCAGTGTTTTGCATTCCTTAGTGTTTATACAGTTTAGATGTCTATGTTCAATCCAGGTAAGGAAAAACAGAAATAATTTGAAAGTTAATGTGCCAGAGATCAGAGAACATACAATACATATGGTAGGGAAAATGTATATTTAATATGCCTAAATGAAGAAAATTATTAATGTTTTAAAGATAATTTTGGGTTTATTTCTGACCAAGTTTTCTTTTGAGGGAAAATAGAAGAATGAATAATTTAAAAAGAATTAAAATCAGAAAAAGTCATGGTCAAATAAACGTTTAAGCACTGAACTTAGATATCAATGGTTTAATACTGAAATATGAAGTCTATTTTACATAAGGCAGACACATTCAAATTGAATTTTCCTCTGCAGGAGGCTTGTTCTTTTCTAATAATCACTAAATGATAAATATTTTTACTTTTCTCATTTCTTCTTGTTCCTTTGATAAATAAGCCCCATAAACAATTATGAATAGATTTCATACCTTAAATTTTGCACTTCATGGAAAAATCTGGTTTGTCTGGAGCACTTCATTCTGTGTTCCAGACAAACCAACTACTAAGAACACATTAAACTGTGAGTAAATTCTATTCACTTTATTAACAGCTCATTTTTTAGAACTACTGAACTGTTAATTATATTTCAAAGTATACTTAGAAATATGAGTTCACATGGAACAAACACATGAGGCAACATCATTACTGGCCAATCCCCCAAATCAATAATATCCTTTCTTTTGAGACATAATGAGACCTGGTGTATAATTTATTGTAATTTCAATATTTCTCAATTTTAAATCATTTCACTTGTTCTTTATCAAGAAAGAAAATAGTTCTAGGTTCTTTTAAAAACAGCCTTCCTGGGGCGCCTGGGTGGCGTAGTTGGTTAAGAATCAGACTCTTGGTTTTGGATCGGGTAGTGATCTTGGAGTCCTGGGATCAAGCCCTGCATCAGGATCCACGCCCAGCATGGAGTTGGCTTGGGATTCTCTCTCCCCTTTCTCACTTCCTCTTCACCCCATCTGCACTCTCTCTCTCTAAAATAAATAAATCTGAAACAAAAACAAAACAAAACAAGAAAAAAAAACCCAGCTTTCCTGAAATGGAAGAGTACGAAGAATAGAGCCAAAAAATACCCAATTCATAAATTATGGAAACTCTCTATTTTAGAAAAGAATGCTATAAATTTAATATTCATTCAATGACCTATTATTCATATCATCTGCACATGCTACAAATTTCTAAGGATCTTGTCATAGCAAATAATCAAATTAAACCACACCATTCATCTTTTTAATTTGTATATATTTGACATGATTTTTATTTTTTATTTTATTTTTATTTCTAAGATAATGCCCCACCAAGGCAAAATCTCATTTCATTTGGTTATAGAGTGTAATTTCCTGGGAATTGCTATTTATAAAATTTCCTTTTAATGAATTCATAAAATGGGTCCTTTGCTGATTTTAATTACTTATTATTAAGGGGAAAATTCTACTTTTTTTGTAGACATGATCCATTTTTTTTTTGTAGAAAGGAAGGATAAACTTTCTTCCTTTACAAAAATAAAAGTACCCAATATTTCTGATTTGCTAAAATTTATAAGAAAGAAAAAGGGCCTTGGTTTATTGTCTCTTTTAAAATGGTTGGGATCAAAGTTTTGATGATCTAAGAATAAATATTAAATACTATGAAAATATAGTCATTCAGAGTTCAGAGATTGAGAACCTCAGCTATATGAAAAGCCTCAAGCCTAAAAGTAAGTTTTAAAGGATTCCAACCAACATAAATCTCTTTAATATGTGCAAGGTGAACCTCCCTCAAATTCTCTCCTAGGCAATTATTTGCATGTAAAATAAAAAATCAAATTAGAGAGATAAATAAACAATATTACAGCATAAAAAAATGGTAGTTAACAGTAGAGAGAACTATCAAAATGACACAGAAGATCTGGAGATACATACCAAAGCATTTATAGGTGAATGGATATGATATCCCAGATATACTTCAAAATAATCCATGTCTGGGGGAGAATCAAATGAGGGGTATAAAAAAGACAGGTTTGGTGGGCGCCTGAGTGGCTCAGTTGGTTGAGTGGCTCAGTTGGTTAAGCGACTGCCTTCGGCTCAGGTCATGATCCTGGAGTCACGAGATCGAGTCCCGCATCAGGTTCCCTGCTCAACAGGGAGTCTGCTTCTCCCTCTGACCCTCCCCCCTCTCATGCTCTCTATCTCATTCTCTCTCTCAAATAAATAAATAAAATCTTAAAAAAAAAAAAGACAGGTTTGGTCATGTGTTGATTATGGAAGCCAGGTGATGGATAAAGAGGGTTTATTACAATTTCTCTCTACTTTTGTATATGCTTCAAAATTTTGCTAATAAGAAGTAAAACAACAACAAAAACAAACATAGAATTATAAGCCAATAGACCCTGAAGATATCCATTAGTTATGAACAATCTTATAATGGCCAAATTCAAAGGCCTTATTTCTGTTCTCATCTTTTATGATCTCTCCATCAAATGACACTGCCTCACACCTTTCCTTAAACTCTGTTGTCTTTTGTTTCCCAAACTTTCTGACTCCTTTCCTCTCAATCTCTTTAGCTGGATCTTTCTTTGCATGCCTCCAAAGTGTGGAAAGCCTCAAAGCCCTTGTCTTTTCGAACTTTATGGACAATCGCAAGGCAGTAATTACGACTACATGTCAATGACCCTCACACTGCCATTTCCCACCCCCGTCTCAGGAGTGTTATTATACGTTGGATTATACTCACCACGTGGTAAATTTTACTACATCCTCTCCTTAGTTGTACTTTCTACTTTGCCTGATATACTTACATAGATCTCCAACTAGTACCCCAAATTCAATATATGTTTGAAAAGAAACCCAATTCATAATCTTTCTTTACATTTCTCCACCAAAAGCAGTAGCTCTCCTCTCAGCTCTTTAGTTTCTCCAAATGGTACCCAATCAACCAGGTGTCTAAGTCATACTTATCTGGGCCCTCTCTTCCTTCATATCCTTTCAATGCTATTCCTTCCTGTTGTTACTGCTACCAGACTCCTTCAGCTGGGACGACTGCCACATCTTCCTAACTGGTTTTCTGTCTTCTGATTTCTTCTAATTCCAATCCATCACACAGAGTTGCCAGATTAGATTATCTCTAAAGATTTCACTCCCCTGCTCAAAAATCTTTGATGGGTCCCTTCTGCCTCCTAAATAAATCTGAATTCTCTACCCAGGTAGTCAATGCCCTTGACATGACCCAAGTTCCAATCAAAGTGAACTCTAATGGTGTTTTATTTATCCCTCTATGAAGAAAATGTACTCTGCTACATTTCCCTTCTGCTACCTAGTAGAGCTAATGTAGGTCTTACTCCCACCCCAACCCCCCCAATATTTGTTGGCTGTTTGAGGGCAGGGACCGTATCCTGGTACCTCCCCACAGAAAATAACACAGTAATGTTTGTGAAGGAAGGAAAACAAGACTTCAGAATAAAACCCAACTCAATTTGGGCTACAAAACAGTATTTCAATTCCTTTTCCTACAGATGTAGTCTTTCCAGAATGTGTACATAGAATAAAAAATATTTATTACCTGTTATTACATTTATATCTGGGTACTGGTTTTCACACAGACCAACAGCTTTGCTATCTCTCTCAAAAGCCTCTCGAAGTTCTTTCTTGACTGCTGCCGAACCACATAATCGGTACAGGCCTACCACCTAGAAATAAAATTATGGCCATATTATGGTAAATTTGATAAAGAGAAAATATAATAGCACAAAATGTATAAGTCACATGAAATTGGTAATCAAATATGTTCTGATGACATTTAATTAAAAATACCTCAAACAGCTTTTGAAATCTCACCATAGACTATATTCATCAGACTTCATGAATAAAAACATTCTATTCTTTCTTTTAAATTCAAACAATATTCTATGATTTCTGTAGTGCTATCTATCTTAAGATACAAGCCTTTCACTTTGATTTTATGTGGTCAACCACTATGCCCAAGATTGCACCCTTTCACATCTTTTGCTCTAAACTGAAGAAATGCAGCACAGTGGTTAAACAGGGTTTTAGATTCCAAAAGCCCCGCCCTATTATTCCTAGCTTAGTGAATTTAGGCAAGTTATTTAATCTCTTTAAATCTCAGTTTATTTTTCCATAAAAAAGTATATAGTTGAAATAAGATTCCAGTATACTATTTATGTTATCTTTTTAGGAAAAAAAAAGATTCTAGGGAAGAAATAAAAGCAAACCTGGAATTTTTTTAACTTACTAAATTGATTATTAAGTGATAAAGGAAATTCAATTAAAATAATATATTAAAGGTAAAATAAAACCTTTAGTTCAAAATATATGTAAGATGCACAGATACCACCCTCCTTCCCCTCAACCTACACTAAAAAGATTTATTTTTTTAAACATTGTTAGTTCATACAGGAGATAAAATTTAAGTCTTAGGAAGCTCACTATAAATTCACTGAGAGGAAATCAACATGATATCTATAAAAGGAAAACATGTCTGATTAAGCAGTTTTTTTTTAAATAAACCTTCAAGAAAACCAAGAAAAATAAGTTACTGTTAACTGTACTTCCACATCAAACACGATTTAGGAAGTTGCATTACCTTGAATTGAAGAAAGTTATAAAGAAATTATGTCAAGACAGAAATAAAGTAAAAACAAACAATGAATATCCCCAAGGATTTGAACTAGGAATCACTTTAAAATCTTACAAACTAGGAGAAGGAGTACACAAATGAAATTTCCAGGTGTACTTAATGACACAAACCTCTCCAAGTCATTAAATAACTGACAGAATATAGAATAGAATATAGAAGGTGGGTCTTGATATAGGAAAGTGTTACTAATAGATACAGAGAAATGTTATGCAAAATATTAGAGATGATAAGCACTAACTATTAATTGGAAGATAGTAAGAAACCTACAACAATTTCTTTTCTTTTTTTGTTTTTAGATTTATTTATTTAAGAGAGAGTGCGTGCATGTGAGCAAGGCAAGGGGCAGAGGGAGGGAGAAGGAGAGAAGCAGACTCCCTGCTGAGTGCAAAGCCCAACGCGAAGCCTGATCTCATGACCCTTGAGATTATGACCTGAGCCTAAATCAAAGGTCAGACGCTTAACTGATTGGGCCACCCAGGCGCCCCAGGAACCTGCAACTATTTTAAGAGAAGGTAATGCAAGGATCAACATAATATGGGAAACTAAGGAATGTACTGAAAAGGAAATTTCCTACTCTTATCCACATTCATAGTGCATTCACATTGAGAATAGCATGTCCTACGCTGGTCACATCTCACAAGACATAAGACATAGCAGACCCATAGATGATCCAGAAAATAAAGCTAAAATATTAAAATGCTATCACATTAGAAGAAACTAACTCAAGTAGACCCTTCTGGTATAGGCACACTTAAGTGTCACAAAATTCCCTAATAAAGATGTATCCCCTTCAACTTGAGAAGGAGATGAACCTAGAATAAAGAAAGCAATACTTCAGTAGTAAGTAATAAATTAATGAACCATGCTATCTCAAAAGGTGAATAAAGGAAGACAGAGATCTAATATAGATATTTCAAGGAAAGGACACTTTAGGATATTATCCCTAACTTCAGAGGCTGACTTCTTGAATCAAACACTTGAAGTACATGCTTGATGCCTCTATCAGAGACAAAATCTGTACTGGATTAACCATGAGTATGATTTCCACCATAATTTTTCCCACTGGAAGCAGGGGATAGGTGGTAGTAGCCTTCAAAGCATTTGGAAGACGCCACAAACTACTTTTGTATGACTGTTAAAACCTCATGTTCACGGTAACAAAAACAAGAATAATTACTAAAAAGGTAAACAAAATCCAAGTAGAAGTCTGTAAAATACAGACACAATAAGCTTCTTTTTCTGGGGGGTGAGGGGGAGGGAAAAAGCAAAAGAAACAAAACCAAAAAAGGTGTTTAAAAACTGCAGTTCCAAATGTACTACTGTAAATTTTACTTTTTAGTTCACAGGAAATAATTATTTTTTTTAAATACACCATTTTTTTAAGAGTTTATTTATCTGAGAGAGAGAGAGAGCAAAAGCAGGAGGAGGGAGAGGGAGAGGGCAAAGCCGACTTTCCACTGAGCAGGGAGCCAGATGCAGGACTGGATCCCAGGACCCTGGAATCATGACCTGAGCTGAAGGCAGATGCTTAATCGACTGAGCCACCCAGGCGCCCCATCACAGGAAATAATTCTTTATTAAAGTAACTATTTCTAAACTTTAAGTACAGAAATAAAAAGCATTGCTAAAAATGTTTTCTTAGTATTTAAAAAAGTTATGTCTTATATATACATTCTTTATAAAATATTTCAGAAAAGAGACTGTAAAAGTACAGTGCTATTTGAGTTACTTATTTTAATATTCAATTGTAAAAGTTTCTGTTTAATAATTAGCTTTACAGTCTGCCTAATCTCTGACCTCTCTACATGTTGCCAAAAAAAAAAAAAGGAGAGGGGAGACAGAGAACCTTAAGAAAAAGTAACCGGACCAAGAGTTAGATTGGAAACTAAAGGCTTCAATCTCATACAGACAACATAAAGTCAATCTGAATAATATACCTGAGAAGAGGTTTCAAAAGTTCAGATGTCCCTCCTACCTCTCACCTTCAGAAAGCTACTTCATCTATTTTTATAGATATCAGCAAATAAGACCCACAGAGATTAAGTGACTTGCCCAATATCACACAGCTAATTAACAATGGAGGAGAAACCAGTACCTGTTCCCTGCATCTTTAATACAAAAACCCACTAACTTACTTAACACTGTTTCCATAGTTTCCTCATCAGGTCCAAGGTGAGTTATTTTAAAATCTTTTCTATATATAAAGAAATCATAGTTCAGACTCGGTGATATTTACCCTTGGTGTTTTTAATCAATGTCATAAATTCTGATAGCACTAAAGCAGAAATAACTCAGAAATACTGACGTTAGGCTTAATTTTTAAATTTAAACAATTACTTGTACCTCAGAATCATATCTTCAGTGATACGCTGTTTCTCATTGTCATAGCCCACATGTATTAATGAAAATAAAGATAAGGTCTAATAAACTGGTTAATATTACTTATCTGATTACATACAACACCAGGGTTTTTGTTTGTTTTAATGGGCTGCTTTTACCTTATTTATTTATTTAACCTTCTTATTTGAAAGGAAAAGAGAATGAGAAATGTTATTAGTAGGACCTCTCTTCATCCTCCATGCTATCCCGAAGTTCAGAGACAAATAAGCTTATGCTTCCTGAAGAGTGGGAGAGTATGAGGGAGAGTACAGAATAAGGGCAGGGAGTTAGTTTTAGGAGTAAAGTGGGGTTTTAAGATTCACTGTTGGAATTCTGTGCCATAAGAATGTCAAACCATGAAGAAACATTCCTTAAATGAATTAGTCTTTGCCTATCTTATCAGCTCTGGCTTTTCCTAGGAATGCCGTTGTAAAGCAATCCTGATAGAGGTATAAGGCCCATGCAGCTCTGCATCACAACATAAATTGTAGAACCATCTAGCATGCTCTCAATTGCTCACTGACAACACAGGTGAAAGTACCCTAAACAGTAATGGAATAAAAATAAAAAATAGGAATGAGAAAATGTCTAAATTGGATTTTTTTTAACCTACCTTGAATTCCTTCCCCTAAGACTTAACAATAAACTTAGTTAAGGCAGATAAATTTGATAAGGAGGTAGTAGAGAAACAGTGAAATAATACCTGACAGCCTCTCTTTTCAATTTCCATAATACATTTTTGTATCAGGAGTGGCACCATCAGTCCTATATTTTCTTTCTCTACAACTTTTCGAATATCAACACCAAATATTACGGGTTCTCGGTTTATATCCAGTCCACGAAGAGAATTCTCCCACTGTTCCAGAAGAGTCACTTTCACATAAATAAGACCTCTAGGCTCAAGTTTGACAGCTAACTGATGTGTCTTTGTCACTCTGAATAAAGTGGGAAGAACAACAGTCCCGTGACAACACACTCGATTTTTTCTTGGAGTCGGTTCCCAACTGAACACTACTAATTTCAAATGCTGTGCATTTTCAATTTCTATGTTGAAAGTATGATCCATGTCTAAAAATGTTGTCCGACATGTGAGCAAAGCTGTTCTTGCTTTGTTTACTGAATCTACCTGAATCGCACAGAAGACATCTTTTGAATCTATCCGGGGTGGTTTTAAATCCTCAGCACCATAGAAATGCACACTCATGAGCCCAGATATGTACTGTGAACATTTAGGTTGATCAGAAAAACTGTAATGTCTAAAAGCATCAATGTCTATTTCACTCTTGTTACAACTATTTGGAATTATTTCTTTTCCCTTTCCAAATTTGTTTTCAGATCCATGTTTGCTAGATTTAGTTATAAGTTCAGGTGAATCTCCATCACTGAGGTAACCACCTTTGCACGAATACTTAGAACTCATAAACGTCTTCTTCTGGTAGTTGTGCTGAGAAGATACACTGGTATCCAGATGGTACCGACTTATAACATTCCTCTTAGCAGCTGTGGTTGTGTTCCCAGAAGGCAGAATATCAGCATGATGCATTTCTTGACAGTTACATTTAGACAAGGAAGGAGTATTATCTGGACTGTTCATATGATCCAAAGTTCCTTTGACGCTCAGCTTTCGGCTAAGTTCTGGCAACCTTTTCATTTTCATGGAGAGTTTCCTCACAGTTCGTGGAGATTTTATTTTATCTGGGAAAGACCAGTTAATTGAGCTACTTTTTTTCACAGGGCTAGGGCTTGGAGAAGATGGTTCTGGCACTCCCAATTCAGTCTTATTTGTAGCAGCTAGGATCCCAGGACCTTAAAAAACAAACAAACAAAAAAGGTATTACAAGGTGGTATGTTCTGGTTCCTACTTTACAAATCATCAACTAAACAAACTCTCATGTAGACAGATTTTCTTCTCTTGTTTCATCTCATTGGGGAGATTTAGTTAGTTACAAGTTTAGGTAAACTCCATTACCCCCTTCAAACAGAGTATCAAGGATTTCCAGGGGTGCCTGGATGGCTCAGTTGGTTGAGCATGTAACTCTTGATCTCAGTGTTGTTAACTTTGAGCCCCACGTTGGGTGTAGAGATTACTTAAAAATAAAATCTTAAAAAAAAGCGGGGGGGATTTCTAAATAGTTTACAGAGGAAAAAAGCATTTCCCTCTCCATCCACTTTTCTATTCTAAAGGTTTGGAGGAAGGATAATATAGGTTCCTTTTAAATCTTTCCCACTGCAGTATAATTCAGGAAGTATGCTATTTTATAACCATAAGCAGTGGATATCAGAGGAAACTAGGAAAGCTTCCTATTTTAATAGGTTTATTTTGGCATATTAATACACATTTAACATATTTCCTATTTTAATATGTTTATTTAGAAATCCTACTCTAATTAAAAAAAGAAATCCTACTCTAATAAAAGAACATTTCTTCTTTATTTTTAAGATTTTTTAATTTATTTACTTGAGAGAGAGAGAGAGCAAGTGAGCACAAGCAGGGGGAGGGGCAGAAGGAGAGGGAGAAGCAGGCTCCCTGCCAAGCAGGGAGTAAGCAGGCTCCCTGCTGAGCAGGACCCTGAGATCATGACTTGAGCCAAAGGCAGATTCTTCACCGACTGAGCCACCCAGGCGCCCTGACATTTTTTTTTTAACTGGGATTGAAAGTTTGAGGTTAAATAGAATATTTACTTTTTACTTTCACATTCAGAAAAAAAATAAAGCTATTTTTGGGTGGAGAAGAATTAAGAAACATTTCAATGCTTTACTCTTCATGAAAACAGAATTATAAGAAAACTTATTTATGTCTCTGTACTGTCATTTAATACTTTGAAATTGCAAGGAAAGACCCTAAATTAGCTTTTGAAGTTCTAGGGAGCTACTGTATATAAATAATATAAGAAATGTCTTTATAGTTTTTTTAAATCAATCAATTAGCTTTATGATATTCAATATTCAGTTTTTCTTTTTTTAAATTTTTTTAAAGATTTTATTTGAGAGAGAGAGAGAGAGAGCATGCACAAACGGGGGGAGGGAGAGGGACAAGCAGATTTTTTGTTTTTTATTTTTTAATATACTTTATTTTTTTAAAGCTTTATTTTCAAGAATTAAATGAGGATCCTTGCATACTTAAGTATTAATTTTTCATACTTTGTCTAGCTAAATAAATGTTGGCTGGTGTTATAAATATTAACAATTTAATATTAAACAACTTTTAATATTCTTTTCACCACAATATTTACAATGGCTAATCTCTTGATAGTGCAGTTTAGGCTATTTATTTGTATTTCTTTGTATCTTTTAAAAGATAAGCCTGCTTCCCCCTCTCCCTCTGCCCCTCACCCTGCTCATGCTCTGTCTCTCTCTCTCTCTCTAATAAATAAATAAATTTTTTAAAAAATGTATAGACTAATAAATTTTATTTTAAAATTTGAAACTGTTCCTATTTAAGGGTTCAAACTAATAAAGCAAAATGAAAATATCTTCTAAAATCTAATATAAGTTTAAACTGTTCCTTTAAAGAAACAATCTAGGGGTGCCTGGCTGGCTCAATCAGTAGAGCACCCGACTCTTGATCTCAGGGTTGGACCTAGAGCTTACTTTAAAAAAAAAAAGAAAAAAAGAAATAATCTATTTTTTAAACTATTTAAAATTTAAATCAATTTTTCATACTTCATCTAACTATTCCTTACAAAGATCTCTAATGACCCTCATATCAGAGGCTACTCTATGTAATACATTTTCACAATTAAAATGATCCAAAAAAGTATTAATTCATTTCAAAAATCAATAGATTAAATGGCCTTTCTTTAAAGTATTAATATCATCTCCCTCCACCCCTCTTTATGTATCCTAATGACAAAGAACTGGTTTCTTTATAGAGAAAGGACTATTTTAAGCATGCCTGCTGGGTTTTTCTGGTAAGTAACTAATAAGAAATGGAGTGTTTGATAAACTAGATAAAGCATTCTCTTGTACTGTAAATTGTAGTACAATTCTACTGGTTTACTGGCCTAAAACATTCTATAATAATCAGAGTCCTGCTGTAGTTTACAATCTATTTTGTCATGGCTTAAAAAGCTACCCAGTATATTAAATTGCTCTAGGTTTTTTTACATTAAGGAGTTAATTTAACATTCTGACTTTTTCTACACATCATGCATTAAATATTTCCTACTTAAGTCCTTAACTAATTATTAAAATGAAATACTGTATAAATTAGCAATTTCTAACTGCAGACAAGATAATTTATTAAAATAAAAATGCTTTGTTTTTATAAAATCCAAGAGCTGAAATATTACCAAATTCAATAACTGCTTAAAATTAAACCAAAATCGGGATGCCTGGGTGGCTCAGTTGGTTAAGCGACTGCCTTCAGCTCAGGTCATGATCCTGGAGTCCCAGAATCGAGTCCCACATCGGGCTCCCTGCCCAGCAAGGAGTCTGCTTCACCCTCTGATCCTCTTCCCTCTCGTGCTCTCTCTCTCTCATTCTCTCTCTCTCAAATAAATAAAATCTTTAAAAAAAATCAAACAAAATCACACTAATCAAATCACAGACTAGCTATGAAGGGAAAGCACAAAATGAAAATCTTTATAAAATTCATGGACCAGGCTAGAATCAAGTGAAACTGGCACATTCCTTCAGCACCTAGAACAGTAACTGGTACACAGTAGAAACTAAGTGTTTACTGAATAAATGAATCAACCAACCAATTGTTAGTTGCCTGTAAGCTGGTAAACCTTTTAGGAAATATAATATAGGAATTACATATAATAGTTACCAGTCATAAAAACCCAGTAATGCTACTAGTAATTAATCCTAATTAAGTAAAATAGAACATGATGAAGATCACTCCAATAGTAGTGGAAACAATCTATTAACACCCAACATAATGAGTCAAATAGATTAGGACACATCAACCCAATTAAATACTATGAAATTGGTAAACAATAATGTTATTCTACAGTATGTAACAATACAAGATGAAAATACCAAGTGAAACTATCCAAAAAGCATAGTGCTATGATTGCAGCTAGATAAAAGATACATATACACATGGGACTTGAAAGACAAACAAGTCATAATTGTGTTAGGATGATTAAAAAATTGTCATTCATATTAAATATACTCAAGCTTTCCTATTTCTTAATCAGAAAATTATTTTAAAATTCAACCATTCTCTTTGCCTATTTCTCAACAGTTCTCTGTTAATACTGCTAAAGAAAACATCACTTTAGGGGCACCTGGGTGGCTCAGTCGGTTAAGCATCTGCCTTTGGCTCAGGTCACGATCCCAGGGTCCTGGGATCGAGCCCCGCATCAGGCTCCCTGCTCCATGGGGAACCTGGCTCTCCCTCTCCCTCTGCCTGCTTCTCCCTCTGCTTGTGCTCTGTCAAATAAATAAATAAAATATTAAAAAAGAAAAGAAAATATCACTTTAGGTGACCTTTCTGATCAAACTAAAACAAAAAATGATGACATGTAAATAAGCTGTCTAAATATTTCCTTTGGTGGGTGCCTGGGTGGTTCAGCTGGTTAAGTGTCCAACTCTTGATTTTGGCCCAAGTCATGATCTCAGAGTCCTGGGATCAAGCCCTGTGTTGGGCTCCTTGCTCAGTGGGAAGTCTGCTTGTTGCATGTCTTCCTCTCCCTCTGCCCCTTCCCTCCAGCACCACCGTCCCACCAGAGCATGAGCTCTCTCTCTCTCTAAAATAAATAAGTAAATATTTATTTATAAATAAATAAATAAATAAATATTTCCTTTGGTCATATTTAATAGTGCTTATAGTTTAATAATATGTTAAAGAGAAGAATAACAGTGAGAAAGGAGACCTAAATGACAGTCCTACCATACTTTCAAGTTTTGGGGTTGTTGTTTTTTGTTTTTGTAATGTCTGTTAGTCTTTCCAGGTTCACAATTTGCCACAAACATAAAATAATACATTTTAAAGACAGTAACTTAAATCAAAGTATGTATCACTTTACAGACACTGGCTTTCTAACTTTGCAGTTGTTCTTATACCCTCTTGCCTTTCCTGCACCATACCAACCTGCCACTCTGCCATATTCCTTTAAGCGTTCCCTACCACTCCACCCTAATCACAACCTGCGTTCCTATTATATTATATAGCATTTATTTCTCTCTCCATCCAGATTACAAAAAAAACCCACAAATTCATGCTGAAAAGTCAGTCTACAATTAGGAATGCACACACACAATTTTTCATTACGTTCAAATCCCAACATGGGGGGGTGTTACTTAATATTTCCAGCATAACTTCTCAGTGTTTCTTTCAAAAAACTAATATCATATAGTACACACTGTTTTTTAACTCACTTTTTCTCTTATCAATATAACATTCACTCCAGCTCCTCACATCCCTGAGGAACAGATTCAAATGCAAGTAGTTTATTTGTAAAGTACAGAAATACTAGCAAGAAGTGAGAAAATTCAGGGGAAAATCCAAGAATTATCAAGCCTGCTACTATGGGCAACTGGTACTTAACCTCAGGAGAAAACTCTGGGAAACAATGTAGAATTATGGCACTCAAGGGGGGAGAGAGCTGAGGTAACCCTACACCAACTCCTGTCAGTCACTGGTTGAGGGGCACTCCCAGACTGCCCTACAAAGAAATTCCGTAACCCTTCTCAGAGTCCTCAAGCAGGGATGTGGATACTGATGTTTGGAAGTAGGCTGCTTCCCTCTAAATAAGTAATAAAATCCAAGGGATATGCACAAGGTACTGATAGCATCTGCTATACCCCACATCTTTGAATATTCTGTATCATTTGAAATTTTTTTTTAGATTTTTTGTGGGGGAAGGGGCAAAGGGAAAGGGAGAGGGACAAGCAGACTCTCCGGTTGTGCAGAACTGGATGTGGGGCTCGATCCCAGGACCCTGAGATCATGACCTGAGCCAAAGTCAGATGCTTAACCAACTAAGCCACCCAGGTGCCCCTCATTTGAAATTTTATAAATTAAAATGACTTGATATAAACCAGAACTGCTTTCTATCCAACATTTGATATCTTGCAACTAAATATGCTTTATGCAGTTTCCTGTGTAGTGTGTCTGGGATCAAATTTGAAAAGAGGCATATCAAAAAATCAAGGCAATCAAAGAAAAATAAAACCATCAGGCTGAACTATATGAAATGCTGTTTTGCAGATCAGACACTGTTGAATCTCAGCAATTTCATATGGTTCAACCTAATATGCATCAAACTTCCAATTATTTCCTTTCTAGGTTCCATAAGTATTGTAGCACCTATTTCCAAGGTCTTTACTTCTCCCCCTCACTTCTTTTTCTCTTCTTCCTTTCCTTTCATGAGGAAATGTAGGCATGAAACCATAAAGTAATAACTACTGGTACACTGAATATACAACTTTTCAGCTATAATCAGGCTAGGTGTAAATGAATGCATGAAGTAAAATCAGATTTACATCTTTTACATATTTTACATATCTTTCTCTTCCACGCCTTGTGATTCCATTCTTTCAACTAAGAGAAAAGTAATTACTATCTCAAAGGACAGACATCCTAAGAGTTGGTGTAGGACTACCCCAGTATCTTCACCCCTTACAAAACCAAGTCCGTGATAGGAATAATGAAACCACCATTTATATAAAAAGGTTTGTAAAGGTTTTTGAGTTTTATTTTTATGAAAATTCACTCACTCTGTAAGAAAAAGTACATAGCTGTAACAGACATCTATATTTAGTTTTAGCTACTGTCAAAGAATTGAATGGAAAAAGAAAAGGCAAACATATGATCATCTTTACCTGCAAAAGGAGATTTCAACATGAGACTCTCCTCTACCATGATACCTTCTTGTATCTTGTGTCCAAGCCTTTGCTTGAACTGCTGCACGAGCTCTGGGGAATGGATGGACTCTACAGGATTCATTTCATTGGACTGTGTGGTTCTGAGTTCTGAAGAGCACAGCAAGTCTTCAGTGTACTGCTCTGTTTTCATTAGGTCACTACCAGACAATACTCTCAAACTAACAGCAGGAAACTTCAGAACAGGAGGGTCTGCCTCACCAAAACTCAAGGCATTTGATAAACCAAAGTCATCATCCTCAGGAATGGGGTTGTACCATATTTCTCCTTCATCATCTGCATCATTTTCCTCATTGAAGTCTAAAGAACAGTTTCTTGATAATGAAGAATTTGTAGCATCACACACCATATATGTACAGTATTCCTCAGATGACTTGAAGAAAGGCCGTGATAGCTGATGTTTGGGTGAGATGGATAAGTGACTTATGTCTTGGCATTTCTTATTTTCCTCTTCCAAATTAAAAGATCGCAGAGTACTCTGATATAGCCAATTGCGTTTCTTTGACACAGTGATGCTATTAAGTGGCTTATGACCTCTGAATCCAATATCATCCTTCAGATCTTCAAGTTCTCTTCCCTTCACTGAAGACCCATAGACATTTTCAAATAAATCTGTTTCAAAGGAAAAAAAGAAAGTATACTGTAATGATATAATGCCTAGCATACCAGGAAAGACAGGTCACTTGAAATCAGTTATTAAAATATTATTTTTAAAAAGATAGAAAGAAAAGTAGTATTACATTTGGAGACTAAAATGAAACAAGAAAAATTTGGCTTTTTCACCTAACAATAATTTCTATTAGACTACTAGTATAAGTGACATAAGAACTCTGAGAAAAAGAATAAACAAACTCTGAGATTGCCTTTATAGACATGATAGGGCTAACAAAGACTTAACCCAAGCAAAACATACTTTAGAAAAAGCTTACATAGAATGCTTTGTACACAGTATGCCTTTAATTAATATTTTTAATAATTTCCAATTTACTACAAGGACCAGAAATCTTTAGAAAACATAAGTAATATTTCTACTTTCTCACACAAAGATTAACTTTGAGTGAATCTTTAAAAATAAGTGTGGCTTACTTATTACTAAATGCTTTCCTGATTACTGAAATTTCAACATATCATCTATTTCCCAATCTCATAGTTATGCAGTTGCACCTTATGCAGGGTTTAAATTCTAAATATCTAGGACAAAAATAAAAATAAAAATCCCTTAAGAAGGCTCTAGATTAGAACCAGCTATCTTGTCTCACGGTAAATACAACCAGTTCTTATTACTGGCCAGGCACAAACTTAAGGAGCAAGAACATAAGAATGAACAAAATAGTTTCTACCCTTAAAGAATTCGTAGTCCAATGGGGGTCATCAAATAGTTGGGATGTGTTTGTGTTAATATAATGAGATAAGACTCTGAAAATGTATACGTAACATTAATCCCACATAAAGAGGAACACATCCAAAGAATTGCATAAGGCAGGCTTCAATGACAGTCAATAAGCTAAATATATACCATAATACTAATTCACTAGACATAGAAAAATAGACAAAACCACATTTGTAAAAATTTAAGATCATGTCCAGGTTTATAAATTATGGAATTATAGTCTGTGCTACTTTAAGTATGTATATGGTTGATTCATCTTAGTATTGCAGCAAATAAAATATAATACCCTAATAACAGAGTGATAAAAACATATTAAACTATGAGGAATTTAATAACAACCAAAAAATTAGGTTCATGCATAATCAAGGTTTTCAGTAACCTCCCTCTACTGAACAAAAATCCCTTAAAAACTGTAAACTTGTCTTTTTTTAATTCTAAATTTTACCCAACTAAGCAATTAATTTTAAAAAATTAAAAAAAAACAACAACAACCCTCAAACAGAAACTGGGCTTCAAGTTCAACTAGTTCCAGAGGCAAGAACAGACTAGGACGCAAAAGGGAAGGAAGCTCCCATGAATGCCTACTATGCATTTATTTATTGAGTGCCTACTGTCTATCAGCAATGAGAGATAAAACAGTAAGAAAGCCTTTAACCTCGTTTAAGCCTCCACCAAAATGCTAAGACAGGTATGATTATTTCCATAAGCCAGAAAAAATGAGGAATACGGTCAATGTGCTAGCTGTAGTATTCAAATTTAAGCCAGTCTAACCCTAAAATCCACACTCTCCTATACCATGCTACCCACCAAAAAGTAGGGAAGTAGGCAGCCCTTTCTGAACATGGTGATAATATCACCCCAGTTAACCTTATAGGGTGGCTGCTGTTAAGAATTAAGTGAGATAATGTTGGAAATATTTTGAAAACTGTATAGTACTACTCAGAAAAATCAAGTAACTTGCCCAAGACCACCTAGTTCATAAACGGGAGAGGTAGCTCTCAAAATAAACTCTTCTGACTCCAAAGCTTGTTAGCAGTATACCTGGGCTACAACTAAAGAGATTACACACCTCTACCCTCCAAGATTTAACATGCAAACATGTAACACATATTCAATAAGTATCTTGAATTGATTTAGTTTAATTAATGAAAAACTTGAAGATTCAAGAGTCCTCTTGGTTCTGTCTCCTTTAAAATTAAAGAAATTAAAAACTGAAAATCAACACATACTCATGAATCACTGGGGCCTCTGGGCTTTTAGTGGCCACGTCTTTGTCCAAGTGTACTAAAAACTAAATCTATTTCACATTTAAGCCCAAATCCCATATTATTTAATAGCACTTCAGACATTCACAAGATATTATTTGTAGTCTTTACACAATTGTAAATTCGAAGCCAAAAGTACAAAATTATACAACTCAGAATGGCTAGGAGTCACATCTTATTGTATCTTTTTCTCAGATGTCTCTCAAACATTTATATATTTTGTTTTATATAGTTAGATAATTTATTTTGAGTCCTATAGAGTTTTTTTTATTTTATTTATTTATTTTATAATAAATATTATATTATTTGACAGAGAGAGACACAGCGAGAGCAGGAACACAAGCAGGGGGAGTGGGAGAGGGAGAAGCAGGCTTCCCACTGAGCAAGGAGCCCAATGTGGGACTCGATCCCAGGATCCTGGGATCATGACCTGAGCCGAAGGCAGACGCTTAACGACTGAGCCACCCAGGCGCCCCTTATAGAGTTTTTTGACATGCATTTTAAATGAAACAGACATGCTTCTACTTGTACTGCATTCCAAGGAACTGCAATGACAAAAACAAAGCTACTGGCATCCCATACTTATGCAAATTGACACATCTATTGACATGAGTATTTAATGTATAATATTTTTTTTTAAAGATTTTATTTATTTGACAGAGAGAGACACAGCGAGAGAGGGAACACAAGCAGGGGGAGTGGGAGAGGGAGAAGCAGGCTTCCCACTGAGCAAGGAGCCCAATGTGGGACTCGATCCCAGGATCCTGGGATCATGACCTGAGCCGAAGGCAGACGCTTAACGACTGAGCC